GCTCTCACAGCCACGATAGTACCGCAGGCTTCGGCAGCAAACACGGCGGCTCTCGCGGCGATCTTCACGGCGGCGCAGCTGCCTATCCCGGCGAACAAGCCGAACGCGTGCGCGTGGCCCGGCGTGTCATGCGCCGCGAACGGCGCTGTCGAAGGGCTCTCCCTGATGGAGACCACCCACTATCGCTTGCTCCCACCGACGCCGCGCCTCTGCAACCGAACCGCGCGCGAACCCGGCGGAAAATTCCCCGCAACTCTCGCCGCATCTATCGGCCAGTTAACGGACCTTACCACCCTCAGTCTATCAAACCTCTGGCTCGCTGGTTCGGTCCCGCTGTCTCTTTCCCGGGTCACAAAACTTCAGTCTCTCGATATTGCTGGTAACTGCTTCGCCGGTCTTCTGCCCGTCGCCTTTTTTCGCATGCCAAATCTCTTCTTCCTGACCGCGTCGCGAAATTTCTTATCCGGAGGGTTACCACAACGTCGCACTGCGTACGCCGTCTCGCTAGGATTTCTGGATCTCTCGGTAAACTGGCTTTTCGGGCCGATTCCTGCTGCGCTTGCGACGCTGCCTAGCCTTTACATGCTATCTCTGAGCAACAATCGGTTCTCTGGAAGAATTCCGCCTGCCCTGCTTAAAAGGGAAATTGGGGCACTTTTTTTGGACTGGAACCGGCTTTCGGGCGACCTGAGCGGGCAGCAGATCGGGGCTTCTCTCGTTGGCCTGGGCCGGAACCGGCTGACTGGAAATTTTAACACAATTCGGTTCAGCAAATCCGTGAGCGTCATCCAGGTTTCGGAGAATATGTTCTCGGGCACCTTTCCGCAGATAGTGTGCAGCAGTTCGGGCAACCTTGGAGTTGTTGATTTTTCACGCAATCGCCTGACCGGAACCGTTCCAGCGAACTGTTTTAAGCCCGCAAAGAGCGTGCTCGAAGTCCTCTACCTGAACCACAACAATTTCTCGGGCAGCTTGCAGCCTTTTTCCAGCCTGCCCAAGAGCATGAAGGTTGTGAACCTGGGATTCAACAAGTTTACAGGGACAATTCCCCCAGGACTCACTACTTTACCCCACTTGGTTGACTTGGACCTGGGGGCAAACTCGCTGACCGGTAAGCTGACCGGGAAACTGCAGGTCCAGCAGGTTCTCGTACACCTCAACCTCGTTAAATTCCCTCTTCCTGCTCCACCCCCTTCTGCTCCACCCTCTTCTGCTCCACCCCCTTCTGCACCACCCCCATTCCATCGGCCTTTATCCTTCTCCCACGGCCAGCAGGCTCGTACCTCAATCAACCCGAAACCCCTATTCACCCCTTTTCACCCCTTTTCACCCCTTTTCACCCCTTTCCCCCTGCTCCTTCCCTTTCCTTCCTGCCATGCACTCAGACCCCACCTGTCTCCTTCTCCTAGGGCCAGCAGGCTCGTAGTACCTCCCTCAACCCCAGACGCTCACTCTCTGTCTCCTTCTCCTAGGGCCAGCAGGCTCGTAGTACCTCCCTCAACCCCAGACGCTCACTCTCTGTCTCCTTCTCCTAGGGCCAGCAGGCTCGTAGTACCTCCCTCAACCCCAAACGCTCACTCTCTGTCTCCTTCTCCTCCTCTTCTCCTCCCCTTCCCTTCCTGCCATTCGCTCTGATACCATCCCCCCCTTCTCCCAGGGCCAGCATTCTCGTACCTCCCTCAACCCGAACCCTATCTTACACTCACCTCCCCCCTCAACAACCCATGTGCTTCCGCCCATTTCCTCCCCAAGTTCCCATCCCTCTCAGGCCCATCTCCCCCCCTCTGTCATGGCCCGTCAGCCAGCAGGCTCGTACCTTAACCTTCCTCAACCTTAACCCTGGTTTTACTCCTCTTCCCCCTCTCCTCCCCTGTGTTTCCTGCCATTTCTCAGCCCCCCACCCCCTCCCCCCCCTTCTTCTGCCAGGGCAAGCAGGCCCTCACCTTCCTCAACCCTAGAGCCACCCTCACTTTCCAATTCCTGTCTCTCCTCTCCCCCTGCCCCTCCCCACCCCTCAGGCCCCATCCCCCCCTTCTGCCAGGGCCAGCATGCTCTCACACCTCTCAACCTCGCTTTCGATGCCCTCTCCGGCCCGCCCACCCCTCTCTCCTCCCTTTCCTCACAACTCTTTTTCCCACTTTCTGTCCTCTCCCCTCCCCTCCAAACCCCTCAGGCCTCATCCCCTCCTTCTGCCAGGGCCAGCAGGCTCTCACTTTCCTCAACCTCGCTTCCAACGCCCTCTCCGGCCCGCCCACCCTCTCGCCTCCCCCACCTGCGCCCCCTCCCTCACCACCCTCTACCTCTCCTCCAACCGTCTCTCCGGCTCCATACCTGCTACAATCAGCTCCTTTAAAAGCCTCAATTGGCTGCTTCTAGACAGAAACGCCCTCGCAGGGTCGATCCCGGCTGGGGTGAGCGGCATGCAGCAGCTAAGGGGACTGGGCTTTTCCTACAATAGGTTATCTGGCCCCATTCCTGGTGTTTGGCCGCGGACTATCGGCCAGGTGCTGCTGGCAGGGAACCGGCTGTCAGGGGCTGTTCCCGCTGCTCTTAGCAAGCTGAAACGGGCTTCCTTTAAGCCAGGCAACCCTAACCTGTGCGGGACGCCCCTGCCTGCCTGCGCATAGGATCACCCGTGCGTAGAGTGTCATGTTTGGTGAGGTGAAAGTAACAAATGACTGAGCTTGTTGTACGACAGGTTCTCTGTGTCGCGTCGAGAGACCCACTGGGGTTGCCCTAGAGATCCTCGGGAGGGCCACATCCTCTATGCCTGGGGGGTTCTGGGCGTTCTGACCTGTTGAGAGAAACAGCCCTAATAGCACAGTGGTTAGCAGCTGTGCTTCTGAGATGGTATCAGAGCCAGGGGTCTTGGGTTCAAATCCCAGTGTGCATTGGTTCGAGTACCAGAGTCCTCCGCCTTTCCCAGTGAGGGGGGGTGTCTAGAGACTCACTGGGGTTGCCCTAGAGATCCTCGGAAGGGTCTCAGGCTTTTATGCTTGGGGGGTTCTGGGCACGCTGACCCGCTAAGAGAAACAAGCCCTTTTAGCACAGCAGTTCGCGGCTGGGCTTTCTTGAGACTCTGGTCCCATTGCTGTGCAGGACGCCCTTGCCCGCATGCGCATATGATCACCCGCGTGCAAAATGCCACGTACATAAAGAAGCATGTCTCAACTCAACCTGTCGTACTAGTGTTCAGGGTTTGCTTCCCACATGATGAAGTTGGGTTGCGAAAGATGCAAATCCGAGATTTTGTGCAACAGCCAAGTACAGGCTAGAAATGACTGTCCATTCCAGCATCAAGTATTTGCTGCAAGGCGCAAGTCAAATTAGGGCAATTGAATGTTTCAAAGCTGCCCAGTCATATCCTGAAGGAGTAAAAGGCCCCTGACCTCCCTCTGCAGCTCCCGCTGCCACTGGTTCCGCCCCGCTTGCTCCCACAGCCCCTGCAAGCCCAGCTGCTTCCGCCATCGGTGCTGCTGATCCCACCAAGGGCGTGTTCATGCCAACACGTGCACCCTCCTCCATGCGCATTCCTGGACTGCCCCCCCCAACCCAACCATAGCCACCACTCCCTGCTCCAATCTCCCTGCCTCCTCCCTCTCCTCCCTCGCCACCTCCACCAAGCTCCTCATCATTCCCTCTGGCCCCCTTACTTTCCACATCTCCCCCTTTCCCTCTAGCCCCGCCATTCTCCATATCCTCCCCATCCGCCCCACCCTTCCCTTCTCCCCCCACTCCCCGTCCACCAGTCCCCTCCTCCTCCCGGCCTCGTTCGTTCAGGGTCGGACCCCCCGAACCACCATCCGGGCCAAACGCCCAACCCGAGCCCGCGCCGGACCTCCTCGCAGCCTCAGCAGGTGGCTCCAGGTTCGGCAGAACGCCGGAGCTGGCAGCTAGGGACGGCATGGTGCCCACAGCACAGGGCACCCAGTTAGCAGCCACCCTCCACCTCTTTCTACCAACGAGTCCCTCCTGTCTCACAAAGAGTCCCTCCTCTCTACCCGCTCTTCTCCTCTTCCTCCCCTCCCCTGTCCCTGTCCCTTGTTTCTCTCCTTTCCTCTTCCCTGCTGCCGCATCCACCTTCCCTCTTCCTTCATTTCTTCTTCTTTTACCATTCCCCTTGTCCAATTTTGTGTCTGCCCTTCCCTTCCTCAAAACAGCTGTCCCGCCGGTCCCCCTATTACTACTCGCTCGAACCACCTGTTCGATAGTTCGTAGGTCCCTCTCCATCTCCCTCAGAAGCTTCTCCGTTCCTTCCTCGAAATCTGTCCCTTCCACTTCCTCCACTTCAACCCCCTCCTCTTCACACTCCCCCTCTCCTCCTCCTTTTCCTCCTCCTTCTCCTCCTCCTTCTCCTACCCCTGTCCCCCCTCTCCTCCCTCCCCTCCTCCCCCCCCACTTCCCCTGCACCCCTTCCCTTCCCTCCTCGCCTTCTCTTCCCCCGCTCACCTCGCTGCTTCTCCAGCCCTTCACTTTGCCTCTTCACACCCTGGATCCCCTGACTTAACCCCATACCAAACGCACCCATACCCACATCACACATAGCCCATCCTCCGGCCCCATTTTCCTGCGCACTATCCATCAGCAATCCCCCCCCGAGAGCACTGATCGCCTGCAAACCCCCATCCTGTCCACTGCTCCTCATCAGCACATCACTGTTCAATAGCAGAGTCTCTCGCAACCGCTGGGAGTAAGCCAGCCAGGAAGGAGGGAAGGCCTCAGGTGTTGTTACCACACCAGGTGTTACACCATGCGCAACAGCAGGGTTACCAGCAGAATCAACGAGAACCGCTGCCCCTTTTTCCGCACACCACTCCAGCAGCCCGTGCCTCACTAGCTGCCGAATGCGCCAACTCATCGCCGCCCCTCTCGCCTTGCTCCTGCCGCCCCCTGTGCTCCTGCCACTCTCCACCCCAGAACCAGACACCCTGCCCCTAACCCCCTCACCTCCCCCTCCCCTCTTCCCCCCCCTCCTCTCTCCCTCTCCCTCCTCCTCCCCCTCCTCCCCTTCCCTAGAGATCATCCGGTCAGCAAGAGCAAGTGCCACGTCAGCAAGGGCGTGTGGCAAGAGCGGGCAGGAGGGCAGGGCCTGCAGGCAGCGGGTGGCAGAGCGGGCTAAGAGACGCAGGGGGAACCACTTGCCCTGTGCTGGCGCGTCTTGAGAGGATGCATTGCTGTTATTAGTATTGTTGTTGTCAAAGCACATATCATCATCCTCTTCCTCTTCTACTTCTTCTTCCTCCTCCTCCTCTTCGTCTTCATCCCATTCCTCTAGGTCCTCCCCTTCCTCTTGCTCCTCCTCCTCTTGCTCCTCCTCCTTCCCGTCTTCCCCTTCCACTTCCTCCTCCTTTTCTTCTTCCTCTTTCTCCTCCTCACCATTCCCAAGCCGTTCTCTACCAGTACCCTCCTCCTCTTGACCGTCCCACTCCATCCTAGCCTCTTGCCCTTGACCTTCCTTCCCCCCTTTCCCTTTCCCTTCCCCTTCCTCCTCCTCCTCTTCCTCCTCCACTTCCTCATCTTCACCCTCCCCATCCTCCAGGCCCGCCCCTGCTGGCTTTTTCACCATCAGAACTTTTTTTGCTGCCCTTTTCACCCCGCCTCTCTCCTCTCCCCTCTCCCCCTCTTCCTCCACCTCACCTTCCATTAACAACCATTCCAAACACTGCATTATCTCTCTCCACTCCTCCTCCCTCCTCCTCTCCGCCCTCATCCTCTCCTCTACGTCTCCCCCTCCACCCACCCCCACGCACACTCCCTCCCCAACACTCTCTCCCCCTCTCCCCTCACAACTCTCCCCCTTCCCCCTTCCCCTCGCACCCACCTCTATAAGCTGATCCACAATATGTGACAGTAACGCAGCTGGCAGCCCTCTTATATGATCCAAAACCTCCCAAACTGCCTCTTCTAACCCTTCCAACTCCTCCCCTCTCCCCCCACCCCCCCCTCCTCCTCCTTCTCCCCGCCCTCCTCCAACCCCCCTCTCCCCCGTTTCCTCCCTCCCATCCACCAAACCACCCGGATTGCCTATATCCGCGTTATAAGCAGCAGCAACAACTCTTCTTAGCTGCCTCAGCAGCAGAGCAGCGAAATCGCCCATAGACCTCTCAGCACACCGCTTCAATTCCCTCAGCTGAGCCTTTCTCTGCCTCGCTGGGTGCTGCAGGTGCTTCCCGACCAGGATCGAATCGTCGGGCTCAGAAGCAGCAGAGAAGGCCAAAGTAGCAGCTGCAGCCGCAGCGACAGACTCAGCAGCAGCAGCAGCAGCAGCAGCAGCGGCAGCGGCGGCGGTCGCAGCAGAATCATCATCAGCAGCAGCGCCAGCGCCAGCACCACCGCCACCACCAGCAGCACCGCTAGCAGCACCGCCAGCAGGTTTGGGGCCGGTGGTCGGACGGCCAGGGAAATGGCGCCTACTATTAGCATTAGCCCTGGCAACGATGGTGGCTTTGAGCCGCCTGAAGTTGGAGAATTTCCCCTCTGCGTCCTCGTTGGCTGCTGCCAGCATTGCTGCCTGCCGGCTCCAGTAGTTGCTCACGAGCCAGCCTAGAGCCTGGAATGAGTGGGGGGTGGCAGGGGGGTCGAGGGAGAGGGATAGGTGTGACTATCCCTCTCTTTGGATCAGTGCGGATCAGTGCGGATAAGTGCCCGCACTGTGAAGGATCAGTGCGGGCAACTGTGGTCGCTTTGAGTCGCCTGAAGGTGGAAAGGAATCCCCTTTGCGTCCTCATTGGCTGCTGCCAGCATGGCTGCCTGCCTGCTGCAGTAGTTGCTGACCAGCCAGGCTAGAGACTGAAAGGTGGGTGGGGGAACGCGCATGAGCACTGGCATTAGCCCGTGCCAGTGGCAGCAACGATGGTGGCTTTGAGTCGCCTGAAGTTGGAGAATTTGCCCTCTGCGTCCTCATTGGCTGCTGCCAGCATGGCTGCCTGCCTGCTCCAGTAGTTGCTGACGAGCCAGCCCAATGCCTAGAGTGGAAAGAAGCATAGAGGGGTGTTTTTGAGAATTCTAAAAAACACCCTGCAAAATGGAGGAGGAAGGGAGGGCGGAGAAGGGGGAGTGAGAAGAGAGTCTAGTTGAGTGCGCCTTTCTCTCTGTGTTGCCAGCATGAAGGCCTGCCTGCTCCAATAGTTGCTGACGAGCCAGCCCAGCCCAGCCCAGCCCAGCCCAGCCCAGCCCAGCCTAACGCCTGAATAAAAAAAGGGAGACAGTCGAAAGACACACAAAAGGAAGAACGCGTCTCCCCGCCCCCCCTCCCCCCCCCTCACAGGCACCATCTCACCACCCCTTCCGCTCACTTGACTGATTGCCAGTCGCAGCACCGGCAGTTGCAGCAAGCGATTGTCCCCCCTCCCTCCCCCTCCCATAGCGCAGTCCCTCTCCCACCCATAGCCCAGTCCCTCTCCCACCCATAGCCCAGTCCCTCTCCCTCCCATAGCACAGCTACCCCCCCACCCTTCAAAGCAAGCCTGGAAAGAAAAACCGACCACTCCCCTCACCTGGCTGACTGCCAGTCACAGCACCGGCAGCTGCAGCAGCGAGGTACTATCTCTCCCTCCGTCTCCCTCCGTCTCCCTCCGTCTCCCTACGTCTCCCTCTGTCCCTTCCCCTCTTCCCCACTCCCCTACCCTCTCCTCTCCCTCACCTGACTGATTGCAAGTCGCAGCACAGGCAGCTGCAGGAGGCGATTGTGGGCCAAGGCTGGAATGGGAGGGGAGAGGGAGTCAAGGGGAGAAGGTAAAGAGGGAAGAGGAGGAGGATGAAGTAGGTAGAGGGGGTATGCTAACTGCAGCAGTGGCAGCTGCAGGAGGCGATTGTGGGCCAAAGCTGTGGTTGAACATAAAGAGAGGGTAAAGAGGAAAGAGGAGGGGGAGGAATGAGGGAAAGGGTATGCTAACCGCAACACTGACAGCTGCAGGGGGGCATTATGGGCCAAAGCTGTGATTGAACACGGGAGGAAGGGGAGGAAGAGGGAGACGGGGGGGGACGTCAAGGGAGGGAAGGATGAGGCGAAGGAGCCTTTTTCACTGAGGTGGATTTTCAGTCGACTCAAAGTCATGAGGCGAAGGAGCCGCAGCACTGGCAGCTGCAGGGAGACGGGGGGGGACGTCAAGGGAGGGAAGGATGAGGCGAAGGAGCCTTTTTCACTGAGGTGGATTTTCAGTCGACTCAAAGTCATGAGGCGAAGGAGCCGCAGCACTGGCAGCTGCAGGAGGCGATTATGAGCCAACGCTATTAATCGTTGCAGCTGCCAGCTGCCAGTGCTGCCGGGTGGACAAGGGAGGGAGCGGGAGAGAGAGATGGCAAGGCGGAAAGAGGGGGAGAAGGATGAAGGAGGGGTAACTTTGGAGTCGACTCAAAAATCGACTCATTACACACGGTAACTTTTGAGTCGACTCAAAAGGCACCTCGTTGCAGTAGGCGATTATGAGCCAGCGCTATGGGGTGGACAAGTCCAACGCTATGGGGTGGACAAGTCCAGCGCTATGGGGTGGACAAGTCCAACGCTATGGGGTGGACAAGGGAGGGAGCGGGAGAGATAGTAGGCGGAAAGAGGAGGAGAAGGATGAAGAAGAGGTATGCTAAGAGATTGGTGGCCCTCTTTATTATAATCGTGTTACAATCACAGATTTACAGTGTCTGATGTCCACGAGCTATTTCATCGTGGACCTGTCGCAACGCTGGATAGAAGAGCAGTCACTACACTACGAGGGAGTTGTAAGGTAGGCTGAGTTAGGTTTTTTAGAATTCTCAAAAACCTAACTCGGACCTGTCCCAACGCTGGATCGAAGAGCAGTCACTACACTCATAAAACAATACATTTTATAGAATCGCATCTTACAGGGACGAACATCCACCAGAAGCCCCGGACTACCCATGTGAGCTTCCAGCCTCACCACAGACCAACCCAGCACTGATCCAAGAGTACACTCATAAATCATTACAGTTAAAACTGATTGCACTCAGAACTCATTACACTCAGAGCTCATTATACCCATAAGTCATTATAAAATCATAAGTCATTCGAGTTCGAGCCTTGAAATGTCTGACGTCTACCAACAGCCGTGGAATGCCCACATGAGCTGCCATCCGCACCACTCACTGACTGAACCAACGCTGGGCCCAAGACAACCTACCAGAACACTCATAACTCGTTATAGTCACCATCACTGTATAGCTTACAATGTCTGACGTCTACCAACAGCCTCGGAATGCCCACATGAGCTGCCACCCGCACCACAGACCGACCCAGCGCTGGATTGCGGTTGTCACACAGACCACTCACAAACCTGAGGGAGGAGGAAGGGAGGGACATGAGGGCATGGGGGCCAGAATAGATGAGAAGAAGAAGAAGAAGAAGAAGAAAAAAAAGCCTTTTCGGTCCACACATGTAGGGGCCGGCCCAGCGCTGGGTTGCAGGTGTCACACAGGCCACTCACAAACCTGCATGGGGGAAGGGGCATGGGGGGGGAAGGAATAAAACAGTAGATATCTAAATGCGCCTTGCCTCTTAAAATACACGTTGCCTTTCAGAAACGTAGGCTCTTTCTTCGACAAACCCGTAATTAAGAAAGAGGATTCTAGGCGGAGAGCTAAAGCAAACCCCGTTACAGGCAACCGTAAATAAACATGAGTCGACGAAATCGTGACAACCGACTTTGAAAAGCTAAGAACCCCAAGACAGGTTTTCGTGATGATGACGTCATGATGACCAGCCTAAGTCATGATGGAAGGCTAGCTGACCTGATGATGACGTCATGATGACAGGCGCACCTGATGATGACGGCAGCGTATGATTGGCGGAGCACAAATGGGGGGAGAGGAGGAACCATGTGGGGAGGCCTGAGTGGTTGAGGGGGAGGATGGGGGGAAGGGAAAGCAAAGGGGGGTTATGGACTTATCAGTATTGTGTATGCGGTGCACAGGGGAGATAAAAAATACCATTTTTGAGGCGCCTCTGAACCCATCCTGGCATCCTGACGAAAGAATATGACCGGCAAGCCAGGATACAATACCGAAACACAGCTCTGATCCCGACATCCCGAACCTGATTCCCCGAACCTCATGCCGAGCCTAGCGGAGCTCAGGAACCTGCAGCAGTGCGTGCCTGCCAGCTGTCACGCCACGCCCCTCCTCAGTACGCCAGCAATACGTAGCCCTTCCTGCAGCAATCGTTCCAACCCTATGTCTCCGAACGTACCGCTCCGAACCTCGCATGCCGAACCTACCACCAGAGCTCCGGATCCTGCAGCTGCGCGGTCATGATGCCAGCTGGCATGCACTTTACCAAGCCAGCCATACCTACCCCTTCCCGCAGCACTAATCCCAAACCTATGTTCCCGAACGTGGCGCTCCGAATCTGCAAACACCCGAACCTACCAAAGCTCGGGATCCTGCAGCTGCGCGGCGAGCATGCCAGCTGTCACGTCCACAGAGGCTGGAACTCGCCCCCTGATCTGCCACGCTGCCACCTGGCACATTTGCACCGGAAAATCCCGAGTGGGGACAAGGAAAGTTGAGAAGGAACGGGGTGCGGGTGGAGCAGGGGGGGGGAGAGGGGGAAAGAGGGGGGGAGAGGGGAGGGGGGGAGGAGAAAGGGGGGGAGAGAGAGGGAGGAGGGGGGGAGAGGGGGAGAGAGGGGGGGAAGAGGGAAAGAGAGGGGGGGGAGAGGGGGGCAGAAGGGTGGGGAGGTTGAGTGGACCAAAAAGTCATCAGCCATACTTAGAGCCAGCAATCCTGAAGTGTTTTGGAGAATCCTCAAAACCACTCTGCAGAATCGACTGACATATTGACCGACTCAAGCACCACAGCACAGCACAGCACAGCACAGCACAGCACAGCACAGCACACAGCGGCCACAGCCGCCTGGGTGTGGTGGTCGACGCTAACCACGCCATGCCTCGTGCCGCAAATGCAAAGCCCGTGATTCCATGCAACAAACGCAATCGATTAACTCTTAAACCCTGAACCTCGGTCGCAGAATGTCACAAACGCTGCTATCACTGAACTTGATCGGCCTAGCATGCGCCGGCTCGCGACTTAATCGAGAGACGGGTAATGCTATAACGGGGATCAGGGCTACCTACCGGGTCAATGCAGAAAGCTATCAATGCGCGAGTAACGGCGGGAACCAGCAAGCGCTCCCTCACCGCGTCCACTCCTCCCAGGACACTCACAAGATGCGATAATGGATCACGAGTCATACTACAACGGGGATACAGCCACACCTTGTACCTACCCGGTCAATGCCAAAAGATATCGATTTGCGAGTAGCCGAGGGACCCAGCAAGCTCTCCCTCACCGCATCCCAATCCTCCCAGGACGCCCATGATGACGACAGCGGGTAGTGCTATAACGGGTGAAGCTATAACGAGGAAAACGAATACCTACCCGGTCGATGCCGAAGCTGATAGAGTCGCGAGTAGCGGCGGGACCCAGCAGGCTCTCCCTCACCGCATCCCACTCCTCCCAGGACGCCCATGGCACGTGGCGTAGCGCTAGAGACATGCTGCTGCTGGCAGCTTATAACAAATGTTGTTGTAACGGGTGCTGTTGTAGCGGATGCTGCTGTAACTGCTGACCTAGTCGCAGCTCTTGCGGTACTGCCTAATGATGGCTCGCAGACTCCGTATGGAGATAGAATCCAAACGAGGCGATTTTTTAGGCGCCTACAAGCAGACGCCGTAGGGGGGTGGAGTCTAGAGAGGCTACGGACGGCGAGAAATGGAACGCTGCGAGCAGAACGCTGCGCGGCTACTACCGAGAGGTGTTCATTGAACGATGTAGCGGAACGCTGAATCCTGCTGATCGTGCGCCGTCTTCTGCACTCGCGAGAGAGGTCGGAGTCGGGATTTGAGGGTTCGGGGACTAGGCTTTGGAGATAGAAGAAGTCATCGTGTATGAACTCCGACCATCCAGTTCTTATTTGGAGACACTCAAAGTGAAACGCGCTGCTGTGGTTACTGGCGAGTCGCGACTGGTGCACGAGGAACTCGAAACATGATCAAGGTGCGGCGCGACTGGCTAACGAGAGCTGAAAAGGTTACCATGGTCCCGCTGCCGCTGCCTCAAAGTTGTTTGACTGCGCATGGACAAAAGAGGGATAATCCCGCTATTAAGAGGGATAATCCCGCTATTAAGAGGGATCACTTTTGGATGCAATCAACCTTCACAACGCAACCCATATGGGAGGGAAACAAAAACAAAGTTTTGTCCCCTCCCAAGCTCTTCACTACGTGGAAAAGGGAGAGAAAAAAAAAAGGGGCTTTTAAAACGCTGTACAATGATTTTCCTATATGATGCCACAAATGGCTGTGGTTCCTGGAGTTGGCACTGCACAAACCGATCCGTGCCTAAGTACCCACTCCACGAGGGGTCATCATCCGAGCAGACCTGAATAATCAGGCTGAGAGTGCCACTTGGCACAATAAATGCTGCAAGAGTGAACAGTCCCGTCCGTGCCTGCCTAATACCCACTCCACGAGGGGCCATCGTCTAACGACACCCGGATGAAAAGGGCAAGAGTGCCACTTAGCACGATGAAGGCTGCGAGACTGAACAGTGTGGCTCCGAGAGTTATAAGGTGGCCGTGGTGTAGAATGAAAGGGATGGCTACACTGCCGATCTGACAAAAAGAGATGAAGAGCAAAGGGGTATGTATGGGACATGAGCAAGTGATCAGAGTGAGAATTCTGCCTCCGAGAGTTATGAGTTGGCCATGGTGTAGAATGAAAGGGATGGCAACACTGCCAATCTGATGGAAGTGAGACGAAGAACATGGGGGAGATCATGGGATGGAGGGCAAAGCGAATGGGATGAATAGAGTGGCTCTGTTAGTGTGATACGGGAGTGGTGCAGGATGAAAGGAATGGCAAGGCTACCAACCTGAGAAACGGTGAAAAAGAAAAAGGCGAGAGAGTGGTAGAGAGGGACTCTCACAGCAGAGAAGCCGGTGAGGAACTTTGCTGCATCTTGCCATCTGGGAGAAAGCGAGGAAACAAAAGAGAGCACGGCGGCAGTAGGAAGAAAGCACAAGGGGAGGAAATTGAGATTATCACATCACAGTCACCTTCACCACAATCACACTCACTCGATGTCTACACCCATGAGGACAAAAAAAAACTTGGAAATATGAATACTCCGCTATATGCACACTCACTTACAAGCGCACAAACATTGCAATCACATTCACCACCAACACACTCATTACAATCACAACCTTTTCAATCGCACTCACTCGCTGTCTGTGCCCATAAGAAAGAAGTCTGAACAGAAGATTCCCCCATGGAGAAAAAAACGGATAATCCACTACATGCACACTCATTACAAGCACACACAGCACAATCACACTCAACACAATCCCCTGCTCGTTAGAATCACACTCACTCGTTGTCAGTGCCCATAAGAAAGAAGTCGGAAGATTCCCCGGTGGAGAAGAACAGGCACGGCATGGGCAGTATCAGGTACATCAGGGCTGGCAGGTGAGTAGGGGGAGCGGGGTGGGGGATGATGGGGGGAGCAGGGTCAGCTCAAACAGGCACGGCATGGGCAGGATCAGGTATATCAAGGCTGGCAGGTGAGTAGGGGGAGCGGGGTGGGGTGGGGGACGAGTCAGCTCAAACAGGCATGGCATGGGCAGGATCAGGCACATCAGGGCTGGGGAGCAGGAAGGGGAAGGGGACGGGGACGGGGAACGGATGGATCAACTCAAACCGGCATGGCATGGGCAGTATGACCAACATGAAGGCTGGCACGAGGATACAGGGTGGGTGGATGAAACGGCAGCAGGGGGGAAGAGAGAGGGGGATGGGGGGGGGGGGGGGTTGGGGGTGTAGTTTTGTAGTCAGCCCAAGGAAGTGCAGATTGAGCGACACGGGTGACAAAAGCGTGAATATAAGGAGTGGCAGTGTGACTATAACGATGTGTCTACAGTGATGCAGTACACCAATTACGCCAGTAATTTCAACGATAAAAGCAGCAAATGAAGCGAACAAACAAATTTAACGAATTACTTAAACTGAGTACCTGAGAGCATTGGCCACCAGTTATTGTACAGGACACATCCCTGGATCAGAAAATACAACATGTAACGCAAAGGTAAAAAAACAAGGGGCCGTGGTTTCAATGAGACTGCTGCTCCTAAGTACCGTTCCTCTGTGTAAATAAATAAAGCCGGAACACACAATCCCTTTGCATAAATAAATGAAACCGCAGCATTGGTACAGTTGACAGACGGCAAGCACTTATTAGCACTTGCGAACCGATGTCCACTACGACGACAACGCCAAGACGACCCAAGACCTAATTTTCAGAGGACAGAAGACTTACTTCTAGCTTGGAACGGACTCTTGTCACACACGTACTAGCACTTGCAAAACGATGACCCCTAGGACGAGAAACGCCATGATATATCTTCATACCAGGTTCTCTAAGATAACCACAGATTTTATTCGGGCTTAAAACAGACTTTTGGCACGTACTAGCACTTGCAACGCGACGACCACTAGGACGAGAAACGCCAACCCAGCGAGCCTGGGAGGAGCAAGAGGAGGAGAGGAGAGAGAGGAGGAGAGGAGAGAGAGGAGGAGAGGAGAGAGAGGAGGAGAGAAGAGAGGAGGAGAGGAGAAGAGAGATGATGCAAGTGAAGAGAAGAGAGAGGAGAGGGGATGGGGGGAGAGAGGAGGATAGGAGAGGCGTCGAGAGGAGAGAGGAGGAGAGGACAGGGAAAGGGGGAAGGAGGAACGGGGAAAGGGGGACACAAGATGTTGAGGCGTCTCAAAGCACGTACCAGCAGCTGCAAGCCGATGCCCATTGAGAAGAGAAACGCCAAGCCTGCAAGCCTGAGAGCAGGGAGAGGAGGAGAAAAGAGAGGAGGGAGGCAGGAGCGAAGGTGGCATCACACTACACCACATGTCGAGGCGTAGCATAGCATCTCAAAACAGGTCGCGTCGCAGGTGCTTCTAGCCGATGCCCACTGAGAAGTGAAACCCCAAGCCAGCAAGCCTACGAGGAGAGGGAGGAGGCAAGGCAGGGGGGAAGGGGACATTACACTACATATGGAGACGTCTCAACTCAAGATAGGAAAACAAGACAGGTAAACAAGACAGATAAACAAGACAGGTAAACAAGACAGGTAAACAAGACAGGTAAACAAGACAGGTAAACAAGACAGGTAAACAAGACAGGTAAACAAGACAGGTAAGGTAAACAAGACAGGTAAACAAGACAGGTAAACAAGACAGGTAAACAAGACAGGTAAGGTAAACAAGACAGGTAAACAAGACAGGTAAGGTAAACAAGACAGGTAAACAAGACAGGTAAACAAGACAGGTAAACAAGACAGGTAAACAAGACAGGTAAGGTAAACAAGACAGGTAAACAAGACAGGTAAACAAGGCAGGTAAGGTAAACAAGACAGGTAAACAAGACAGGTAAACAAGACAGGTAAGGTAAACAAGACAGGTAAACAAGACAGGTAAACAAGACAGGTAAACAAGACAGGCGCCACAACTTGTGTTGTAGTCACGATGGCTGCAGAGAAGAGGGATGCCAGAATTTCTAGCCTGGAATCAGAGAGGAAGAGGAGAGGGAAAGGGGAACACAAGGGTCGGACCGTTCCAAAACATTGCGAACAGGAAGTGATCAAATGGCGCCACACAGGGAGAATAGGACGCACGTCAGGACGTACGGCACGGAGAACAACTGCAGTGGGACAAAAGGGTCACTACCAGCAAGTTCCTGAAAGCAAGCTTTAGTGCCTTTTTTTTTGTTTTTTCTAGAAAAACTAACACAGAATAGGACGTGAAAAAACCACTGCAGAGGGACAAAAAGGTCACCACCAACCAATCGGTTGGTGTTTTTTTTAGTCGACTAAAAACCGCACAGGGAGAACAGGACGTCAAGACACGGCAAACCACTGCAGCGGGACAAAAAGGTCACCACCAACCAGTTCCCTCCCAAACCAAAGCAAGCAATCGATCAGCCCTAGTGAAGTAGAAGCAGCAGGATAGAGTGAGAGCAAGTGGGAAAAGGCAGAAGAAGCTTACGCTGAGAAGAGAGCAGGTGCAGGCCGGGAGACGGAGGAGAGGTAGCATGGGACGAAGACGTTGAGTTGAGTAGCGGATGGGTGCATGTGGCGTTGACAGGGGAAGGAAGAGCAAGTGGAGGAAGATAACAGAATAGAACATTAACAGAACATGTGGGAAGGGTGGTGGGGCGGGAGAGAGGTTGAGTAGCGGATGGGTGGACGACTGCGCACGTGGAACTGACAGGGGGGAGGAAGAGCAAGTCGGGAAGGGTGGCGGAGCAAAACATGTGGGAGGGAGGGTGGGTGGATAGGGGATGGGTGCATGTGGCGATGGTTGGCATGGAAGGGTGGGAGAGGTGGATGGGGAGGGGTAGAATGTCATCTCGCCATTCTACCCTTCCCCATGCTACCCACCCCCATGCTACCCCTCCCATGCCACCCCTCCCCATGCCACCCCTCCCCATGCCACCCCTCCCCATGCCACCCCTCCCCATGCCACCCCTCTCCATGCCACCCCTCCCCATGCCACCCCTCTCCATGCCACCCCTCCCCGTGCATGCACGCGGCTTTAGACATAGTTTATGGATTGACTCGGGATGACCTTTTGAGTCGACGCAGCTGTCGTCTCGTTGACACGGAAGGGTGGAGAGGTGCATCGGTGGGTGGCTCTAACATGGATATTTTAGAACTCTAGACGATCTCTTAGCCTCTATACTGTCGTCCTGAGACGTCTCTAAACTCAAGGCGCTTGGCTATGGCAGATAGGAACAGCTGGACCTCCCCCGCGTCAGACGAGAGAAAATCAAGAGAAACAAGAACAACACCTTGGCGTTCTAGGAAACACGCTTTGGCTACGGCACTTAGGAACAACTTCCGCCCGTCGTCACAACCATTCATTCTGATGTGCTTCACTTAAACTCCTGCGTTTGAGGAAACCTGCTTTTGCTACGAACCGCCGCTTACCTCCTGTCGTCGCGACCATTCAACTCCTGCGTTCTAGGAAACACGCTGAAGGCTACGAACCGCTTACCTCCTGTCGTCACGGCCATTTCGACGCGATTTTAGTGACACTCGCAGGTGGGACGATGGAATTCTGGAGCTTTCCACTTCGGGCAAATCGAAAGATAGCACTAGTAAAGGTTACGGTACTTAGTAAAAAGCGACACGCGTAGTAAAAAGCGTCACGCGAAACGACTGTCGTGCTTATGAAAGAGGGAGAACGGATACGTCCGGCGATGACTACAGCTAAAGCTATGGCTACTGGCAGCTACCTAGGCTCCTGCTATTATTTTCCCTTGGGCTATGGCTGCTTGGTTGGGACCTTGGGGTTGTTGCTCTGCTGAATGCCACCATAGCAGCCCAAGGACCAAAGGAAATGGGCGAACTTTCGCAGACCTCGGTGTTGATTCGCACGGCACTCGTCCTGATACATCCGTTACATAAAGTACTAAGTGTACTCTAAAGATTATTCCTTCAAGAGTCTACATTCCTAACATCTGATGACAATAATGCGGTAAATTCGAACGACAAACTCTATACAGAAACCCAAGACTCTAACGCGGACAAGGAGTAGCATTGCATTCCAACACACGGCTAGAAAGCAAACGCCTTGTTGCCTCCCTCCCCCTCTCCTACTGTTGTTTACACTCAGGAGGCTGCTCCCCCCTGCACCCGCTGCTCCTGCTGCCTTCATCCCCTTCGTCCCTGCTTTCTGCCACAGCGGTCCAACACAAGAACAAACGACAGAGTAAAACACAACACAAAAACACCATACATAAACAACAGTTACACACAAAAACGAACAGAAGCACAGAAACCGTTTTGGGCAGCCACAAAAAAGTTCTAATGACGCAAATCCAGCAAGTACCATGTCTCTAGTTACTGGTTTGATTCACCAATCAGAACGCACCCTTCCGCGAGGCTTTGGGTGGTCGTCCTCGTCATCATCATCCTCATCCTCGTCCTCGTCTCATCATCTCGTCATCATCCTCGTCATCCTCGTCATCGTCCAGATCCTCCAGGTCAGCAGCCTCCCCTGTGTACCAGGACACGGCATGCGGGATGATCTTCTCCCTCAGAGTAGACCTGACGACGAGGGAAGAGGGAAGAGGGAAGAGGGAGGAGGGAGGAGGAAAGAGAGCATGGAAACAGCATGAGTCCTGGTAGAAGAGGGGCTCCATCACCCTTCAAGCTCCTCCGCATGCTGCGTTAGGCATATGGTTAGAGACAGCAGTGCTCTCTGCTCACTACTACTCCCCCTTCCCACCAGTGTGACTCACCCCACGTCATAGTCCAGTTTTGAGGCGCCTCAAAACTAGACTCCATCATCTCTTGAAGATTCTATGCCTGACGGGGTTCCTTCGTCAGCCCCTCTGTCTACTGTGGTACCTTGTCAACTGCAGACCTACAAGTCTCACTGGTGCTCTCACTACTACTATCTCACTCTCCCAGTGAATCACCCCACGTCGTAGTCCTGCTCCATCATCTCTTGCAGCTCCTCCGCCTGCTGTGATATCTTGTCGACTACCATAACCACAATACTGAGTGGTGTCAGGAAGAGCACTACCCCCCTTTCCTTCATGACTCACCCCACATCGTAGTCCTGCTCCATCATCTCTTGCAGCTCCTCCGCCTGCGATGTGCCATTGTGAGTGGCGAGAAAAGGGTGAGTGTTAGACAGGGAGTGAGGGAAGGTAAGTGAGGCGAAAGCGAGAGCAAGCAGAAAGTGAGAGCAAGCAGAAAGTGAGAGCAAGCAGAAAGTGAGAGCAAGCAGAAAGTGAGAGCGAGGAAAAAGGGAGGGCGAGGAGAAAGGGACAGCGAGAAAGGCAAAAAAAAAAAAGCAAACAAACAAACAAACCAACATACTAGCTAGCAAACAAACAAACAAACCAACATACTAGCTACTAAGGAAGAACGGGGAGTGGGGAGGATTCTCTCCCCCTCTTCCTCGTCCAGCTCCTCCTCCTCAGCAGGTGCGCTGAGGAAGTTGAAGAGGCCCTCACAGGGCTCTGTCTGTCGTGGTGATGGAAATGGCCTTCTCGTCAGGGGAGAAAGCAGCACTCTGAAAGCGAGAGCATCTCACCTCTTCCTCATCCAGCTCTTCCTCCTCAGTGGGCACAGCAGGCGGGCTGAAGAAGTTGAAGAAGCTCTCGCAGGGCTCCGTCTTGGTGATGGGCTTGGAGCTCTTGGCGCCCTTCTTGGGCTTCTTCTTCATGATCTTCTGCGTCAGGTTCTTGCCCGCATTCCACTCGATCTCCGTCCTGAAAACAGGGGGCAGGAGGCAGGGAGGCAGGGGGCAGGGGGCAGGGGGGCAGGGGGCAGGGGCAGGGGGCAGGGGGCAGGGGACAGGGGGCGGGGCAAGGGAAGGGGGCATCGTAAGAGGGGGGCATATGCTGAGCCTCCACATTCCACCTTGGTTCCTTGCATTTTCGTACCGCAAAGCTTAAGTTGAGCCAAACTAGAAACGTATGCATGGTTCTTACCCCTCAGCCTTCTCAAGAATTGGCTCCTCCTCGTCGATCATGAAGTACGACTTGGTGAGCTGGGCGGAGAATGGGGTGGGGGGTGGGGAGTGCGACGGGGATAGGGGAGAAAAAAGGGGGGGGGGGGGAGGGGGAGGGGGAGGGGAGGATAGGGGAAAAAGGTTGGTTGGTTGGAAGTGGAGGGCACGAATGGGGCGGAACACCAAGCACCTACTACCCATCAGCCTCCTCAAGAATCGGCTCCTCCTAGTTGATCAAGACGTAGGACTTGGCGGGTTGCGGTGGGGTTAGGGGCTGAGGGAGGAGAGGAGAGGGGGTGAATGGGAGGAATATACAGCGTAGACAGTGGGAAATGCCATCTAGTCAGTATAGGATGCATCTGCACACGATAAATCTCATCGTGGAAAAACCTCTGGAAGAAACCTAACCAGAAACTGCACTGATTGGCCTGTAAGTTCCCCAACTTACCAGGCATAGCTCGCTGAGTGACCCTA